GTGTTGAGACACTTGCATGCGACCAAAATCTTTGGGGTTTATTCGAGGCACTTATGTGTTACACTTCATTGGAAAGTTTTGTTTCCCATTAGCTTCAGGTCTTTACTTCAGTGCTGCCTCCACCCAGGATTATAGCCTTTCAGTTAGGATTAAAGCTGCAGTGGGACAGAGCGGCTTGGAAACATGTGAGACTGCAAATATGCAGGGAGAGTCAGCAAAGTAACCAGGGGAGGGGAGTGACACATTTAGAGCAGGAAAACAGGACAGATACTGACATTATATGTATTATTCTCTCTGTACTCATGCACTGATGTACTTAAATGACTAATCTTGATAATTGAAATACCCCAAGTTTTAATACTAAAACAATGTTCACATCAGCTGACCTAACTTGTTTGATTCCTTTGTTGTACTAATCTGTCCTAAATATTGTATCTTGTACCTCACCAACTGTGCTTATACACGTTTTATCCTTGGCACAACATGTGCCTGCACGTCCTCCTGTGTCATCTTGACATTTTGCTCTATGACTGTTTTGAATTTCAGTATTTAAGAATGATTGTAACATCAAATATTATTGTTACCATCATTTTAACCTGCAAGTTTGCGAATGACCTGTATTGCACAATGTTATTAGGACATACTCTGTCATTGTTCGCACAATGTTTATGGGCTCCAGGTGTCTATTGTTATAGATTTCAAATGTACTGAATAGTAACTTTTTGTATTTTCACAACTGTTCAAGTGACAGCTTGATGAAAGGTGCTCTACTTTGTACTCATTTGCTGTTTTCTGTTGTCTTTTAGGTCGTGGGCTTGTAAAAAATGTTCAGATTTCTGAACAAATATATCCAAGGCTGTTTGGAGAGGCGAAAAATCCACAGGAACAGACTAGTGACCAAAGACGGTCGCTGCAACATTGAATATGGAAACATCAAGTACAGCAACCACTTATCCTTACTGGCTGACTTCTGGACCACCTTTGTTGAGATCAGGTGGCGTTTTGTCCTCCTGATCTTCATCGCCTCGTTCACCCTCAGCTGGTTTATTTTCGGCCTGCTGTGGTACTGGATAGCCCGCAGTAATGGAGATCTACCCTGGCAAAACCCCAAACTAGACCACTCTGCATGTATTGATAATATTTTAGGACTGACCACAGCGTTCCTCTACTCCCTAGAAACCCAGACAACCATTGGGTATGGAGGCAGAGCGCTCACCCACCACTGCCCAGGTGCTGTGGCCCTTCTTATCATCCAGTCCCTCCTTGGAGCCATTATTAACTGCTTCATGTGTGGAGTGATCCTGTCCAAAATCTCTTTACCCAAAAAGCGAGCAAAGACCATCTCATTCAGTGACATGGCCGTTATCAGCCCCAAAAATGGTTCTCTTTGCCTGTCAATAAGAGTGGCCAACCTGCGCAAGACCCTAATGATTGGAAGCCAGATCTACGGCAAGCTGCTGAGGACAACAAACTCACCTGACGGGGAGACAATCATCATGGACCAGCTGAACATCGACTTCATAGTGGACGCCGGGAAGGACAACCTCTTCTTTGTGTGTCCCCTCATGCTCTACCACATGATTGACAAGAGCAGCCCATTCTTCGAGATGGCGGTGGACACGCTCCATAAACAGGATTTTGAGCTAGTAGTCTTCCTAGACGGCACAGCAGAGTCCACAAGCTCTGCCTGCCAAGTTCGGACCTCGTTTATTCCTCAGGAGATCATGTGGGGCTACAACTTCCTACCTATCATCTCCAGAAACAAGGAGGGCAAGTACAGAGTGGATTTCTCCAACTTTTCCAAGGTGGTGCCAGTGGCTACCGCACACTGTGCCTACTGTTACCACAACATCAAGGGTCACCATCACCACTCCAGAGAAGGACATGACAACCAGGGCTTTGATGTGATCAATATCAATGACCCCCCCAGTGTCACAAGGATGTGAGACGCATTGCAATGAACAGTAGAAACTGAGAACCTCCCATTAACCTGCTTATTTGTTATTCTATTGTGTTAAACATAGATTAGAAAGCCGTCTGTGGGTCAGATGCAGAACACTTATTGTGAACTATTTGTATTTAAAAACCACACCTGTCACTGTCTGATGACAAAAAAACCTGTTCTCAAAAGTGAGGTCAGGCCATGGAAGATTGTGAGGCTACAATTCAACAACAGAAACAGAGAGTTTTCCCAAATACTCTTCTCAGGGATTATACATTTAATTTAAAGTGGACCTATCATGCTATATTTAAATGATATATTGTAGGGCCATACCTATATAAGGTATATTTATACGTTTCTGTTTTCAAAATACCAAACAGATCATGCATTTTAGCCATGCCTCATTTGTGTTCGCTCTATGTGCTGTTTGCTGTCTACGGGTCTGATTCTGCTGACCACGCCCCCCTGCAGGAGAGGGGAGACGTGCTCTGATCAGCTGCTGGGCTGTCAGAAGAGGGGGAGAAAAAGAGATCTCCGTCCTCCGTGTTTTATTATATAGAGTCGTTATTCATTTGTTTTAAAGCTCAATAAATAACAAAGAAGACCTTTGACCGGCACTTTTCTAATTTTGTATAATTTTGTATAAAAGACGTACCAAAGTGCATTTTGCATGATAGGTCCCCTTTAAATGAAGATGATTGGTTCGTATTTACCTCTGGCTGCAGAACAGGTTTACTGAGTATAAAGAGGCTGAATATCTATGCAAATGTTTTGCCCCGTGAATAAACCCTTCAATTACTTGAAGGACCAACATTGAAGGCCATGCTTTTGACGTGGGTGAAGAAAATATATGGTGGTTCTTTTAATAATGCATGCAGCCTGCTGTACACAGAGACACTTGGACTTGAACCATTAGAGTATGTTTAACTATTCAGACACTGAGGCACTAGTAAAGGGCCGGGCTCAGGGGCCACTCCTTTCAAACAGTGGGTGATTTACTTGTGCTTTTCTACTTGAGTGAACACATTGCTAGAGAAAATCGCTGTCCGGAAACACTTCAAATATGCCTGCATGCAGCACTGACTTTAGTACGAAAATCAATTGTCTATGTTCTTGTTAAGTTTGTTTTTTTGATCTCAGGGGAAATAAATTAAAGGCTATTTTTTAATAAAAAAATGTTTGTGTTGTTGTATTATTCTCTAGATAACTGAGCCTGAATGTCACATTAGGACTGTGATCAAAAAGGTGAAAGCGGCGTAATGACAGGTGCCAACCCCTATCGAGGCTTTTCATCTGTAAACAAAGCAAAGTTGTGACAGCAAACAGGGAAGTGTTTGGGAGACAAGAGCTTGCTGCCCATTATTTTGCCTGCAGGTCATGAACACGAAACCAGATCTCTCCATTTAGAGAAATTACAGCACATAGTATACGCAAGAATGAATGGAGATTTAGAAGGTTTTGTTGAATGCCAAGGTCTCATTAAAACCGCTCTAATGAACTGTGTGTGATATGTGTGTGTCTGCACCCAGGGATGTTGCTGTAGCAAGTGATAAGTAGGACTCGGTAAAAGATTGTGAATATTATTGGCAATCATATGAAGAGACAGAGCAGCTTAAAGGTGATGAAAGATGATGCTTCATAGACAGATTTTTAATAAAAACAAGTCTACAACAGTCCCTTAGCGGATGTTCTCTGGGTATGTGATTCATATTTTGTCTACATGGTTCACAGAAACTAACATATCACTTGGCAAGGCTGTAGCTGTCATCAAAGATACACACAGGTTGTTACATTCCCAACACCCATGATTTGAATCTGTGCTCAGAGAGATACTTTGATGATGCAAAGAGAAAACACTCAGGAGAATTGACGTGCAGCGGCCTAAAGTGCTTTTACACCTACAATTTCCTCGTTTGCTTCTGACCTTGAATGATCTGCTGATACAAATGAAGATAGGTGTAAACATGGTTTGTCACTGTTTTTGCAATGACAAAATGTAACTTGTAATTATCATGGCAATAATATTGCGTCATAAAAAGGAAGCCTGTAATAATGCTGCATTATCCTTCCTATTTCTTGTCTAACAACCGGAAATTATTTATTTGAATTACATTTAAATAAAACAGTTAGCGCTAGTTTATTAATTTCTCCGAGCTAAAATTATCATAGCATATTATCATCATTACTACTTGTTGATTGGAGTGGACAAATATTTTAAACAATGTTAATGTAATTTAACAGCTCTAGAAATTCTACCCTCCAATAATTACTAAGCTAAATCAAGAACAACTGTTACAAAAAGCTGAACGTTATAACCTTCATGAAGATATGCATTATTACAGTACTGTTGTATTATACTGCATTAGGTGTACCTAATAAACCTGCAACATTTCAAACTTGTACATTTTCATGGTTAGTTTGTGCATACGTACATTTGATTACATTTCAATCAGATAACAAGCCTGCAGAGATGATCAAGATAAAGTTGCATAACTACAAACTGTGGTCACTTTTTTTTTTTCTTTTTTTTGGCACAACTGAATCCAGATCTTTAAAAAAGCTTCACTTCAGTCTACAATTGTTATTTGTTCATTGCCGTTTTCTGTCTGCAGGTGTAAATAGTACATGTTCAGCTTCATAAAAAAGCACTGGAATTATGCAAAGAAATATAAGGAGTCGAAGAAAGGCACTTTGAAAATATGTAATTAGCTGCTTTACTCCCCAAAATATTAAGGCGACAAAATGATCAGATTAAAACATATGACGACTGTGTTTTTCATCATGTGAAGTCAGGAAATGGAAGATAACTTGAGAGGTAAAAACATTTATTTTGTCACATTTCCCTATACAAAAGCCCTTTTTCAAAAGCTATTACTTCATACATTGCAGGAATGACAATAATAATAATACATTGGTTAATTGTAAAAATTATACACATTTATATATATATATATATATTTATATATATTTGTTATCCAAAATACATTGCATATACGAAGTAGCACAGTTCCCTTTTCATTGATAATGCTTGTGAAACATGGAGGTTAAGGGTACATCAGAACCATTTCTTTATGCTACAAATGACAATTTCCCTTTTTTTTTTTTTTTTAAAGCTATAAACTTTCAGAAGCTGGTTGTGGATAGTAACACTATTTGTATTGTTTTGCATAAAAATACCTGAATTAGTTAAATGAAAAGCTATTAATTCCAGAGCTATTTGGCTTAAGAAGTGATTCAAAATGGTGCATCCATCATAATCACGTAGAATAGAGAAGTTCCAGGCTGTTAGATTATGATTCAAGAAGGCATTTGTGGTATTGGGAATACACGAAAATATCTTGTGCACATAAAGATACTTATGTTACAACCAAATTTCAGAAATAATAACAGTAACAAGAAAACAAAAATGTTACAATGTATTGCCCAAATGTACAGATATAAAACGTTTAACATGCTGAACAAACTACTTAGCATTAATGGACTTAAAAGGTTTGCATTTTTGACCGAGGTCAACTCGTATTAATTCTCTTGACTTTTTATACTGTGTCACATATGAAAATAACTCTGCATAATTTATACAGTAAGTTGCTTTAATGCCTAGTTGACTGATGCTTATAAAATAATAAAAAATAGGTCTGACAAACGCACAGCGTTTGCGAATCTGAGGATTTCTTTGTTTCATCTCGTCATACTTTTTGGTTTTTGTTCTTAAACTACTCAGTCCCAAGTAATTTTTTTTCAAGTGTCCATATTCAGTAACTCTGAAGGAATACTTTGGCTATTAACAGCTTTGAACACCTGAAGATGGATATGTATTTAGACATGATACTTTTACATGATGATGAAATCCTGACTTGAGATTCATGTGCATTTTGCTGGGCTTCAGATCAGTGAGAAACTAACATTCAAACACACATGCTGCTCTCAAACTAGGATCCAGCCCTGGTAAAATGCAACCTAAACTGTCTGCTAACATTACATAACGCTAGGCCACTCCTCTGAGCTGACATATGGAGGAAGGAGACACTGTGGCAGCCGTTATTGACAGAGTGCACTTCAAAATCAAAAATTGTCAGATTTCTGGTGAGACACGGATATAGATCATTATGAAACGTACTATTCATTAAAAGATTGAATGCTGTATTGTGTATAATGAATATAAAATATATAGTATAAAACAGCAGTTAAGGCACTGTGAGGATAAAGTCTCTTATTATGCCATGTACTAAAGCTGGATTCACGGTAAGACACTTGGGATAAAAAAAAAAAATCCAAACAACATACAGACTTGTTTAGACAACATCTCCAAAAAAAAAGGCACTTTCATGTTTTGGATACAGAAATGTACAGCAAACATGGTGTTTACAATTAAGGACTTTTTCATTAGACAGAATGAAAACATCTGACAAATTTTGATTTTGCTGCAGGCGATCCCTTTCACGTGTGTTTCACAAACCAGAAAACATTCACATTAATACTGACATGGTCGAGCAACAGAACATCTGGAAATGGCATGGCTGAAGGGTTAACAGCATGGCAAACATTTAAAAGCCTAGTGTGTGGCCCCCTGAAAACATCTGACCTGGGTTGAATTATTGTTGCAAATTACTTCAATTAAATCTTGACTCAGCTTCCGCAGCACACTCGAGTCAACTGTACTCGTCGCCCATTTTGAACTCTGCACACAACACACAGAAAGATTTTAAAGTAAGTGAGTTCACCCAGGTCAGCAAAACATACAGCGCTTCCTTCTCTGGCGTTTAACTCTTCTCTAGCCTTCCAGTTTGGAGGATAAATAAATTTGTGAATGGCATATTCCAGTTGCCAAATTTCATTCAGTGCTGAGAAAAGTCCATCTCTTTGAGAGCTCCTCCTTGTCCAGCGAATTCCAGAAGACTCTCCACACACACATAAAACGATGCAGATGGACAGACGAGCAGACGGAGACAGTGGAAACAGAAGGCTAGATGTGGTGGGAACAAGAAACCCCAACAAGGCCATAGACAAGCAGAAAAGGCAGATGCTTAAAGCGTAACGTGCATAATGTACTGAGGAGGATGTAGATTGAGACCCATAAATAAAAGGCCCATGTCTGGTTCTGTAGCTTGGCGCGGAGGGAGACAGGCTCGAGTTGTTCTCCTGTCCTGCTTTGGCTTTGGGGAGGTTTTTTAAAAGGTAAAAGCTTTAGGAAAGAGAAAGAAACTTAGACGCACATCCAAAAAGCATAAACAAACAGTTGCTAGTCTGGTAAGGGTAAGTAGTATTCCATTTTGGACCATAGCATCCAGTTGTTTATATTTTCTTACAAATATAAAAAAAAAAAAACTCTCCTTCAATTTTCATCATCCTTCATTTAGGAGCATCACTTCTTCAGAGGACAGACGCCTCGATCAAGTCAGTCTTCATTGGTTCTGCGTCATTTGGGAGTGCAGGTCAGCAATTGTGGACTTTATTTTTGAAAGGATTGGATGGTCAGAGTGGAAGGTTTAATAATAACTACCCAGGTGGGACGGCACGTGGGTGTTGGGGTGGCGGGGAACGTTTGGGTTGGGGTAGATGCCCGCAGTGGGCGAGCTCCAGTAGGGAGCGGTGGGTCCAAAGAAATTGGAGGTGGTGACGGGCATGGATTGAGGGTGTGGCGATACAAAGTTGACCTTCTGCTGGTGGGCGTGGTAGGAAGGCACATAGGCTAGGTCCGAGGGGTACTTGTACATGGAGGATTCGGTGGGGTGCGGCTGCAGCGCCTGAGCAATGCCGTGGAAGTCGAACTTGTAGGCGTAGCGCTTGCCGTGCACTTTGGTCATGATATTTTTGTCGTAGTAGTAGCGCAGCGCACGGCTCAGCTTGTCGTAGTTCATGTTGGGCTTGCTCTTGCGCTCGCCCCAGCGCCGCGCCACCTCATCAGGGTCCGTCATCTTGAACTCGCCATTGGTTCCCTCCCAGGTGATACAGCCGGCGTTGGCGCTGTCAGACAGGAGCTCCAGGAGGAACTGCCACAGCTGGATCTGACCTGAACCTGATGGTGGACACACACAAACGGTGATCAAAGATGTAACACCATAGATGAGCATCATTATAAACCGGAACAACTCATGATCTAGCCTGCATCAAGGGATATACTGTATTGGAGAAACTTCCATGATAACTGCCTATTCAGATGTATAGTAAATACTTACCAGGATTGGCTAGGCGACTACTGGTGGGGCCCAGAATCTGGTAAGGATCTGTGGACAAAAGGAGAGCTTTGTTGGTCTACTGTGGTGACGCACAGTAATGAGGAGACTGAAGATAACATAAACACGTAACTGAGCAACAACTGATGACAACATATAATGATGATAATTCAAAGGAGTGAATTTGAAACATAACGTTGAGATTGTTAGGGTTACCTGGCTGAGGTCTGGGCTGCTCAGTGGACTTGGTCACATTCTGAGGAACCACGGGTGAACCTGCAGAGAAAAGAAAAGCAATCAGTGGAAGACAACAGGGAGACAGAAAGTGAGAGGGAAATAAGGGTGGTTACAGATACAGGCTACATATCTGAGGCCAAAATAAATAAGGCAGTGTTTACAGAAGCTGTAATCTTCCCACACGTCTAGACTCTGTGGATGTTGGAACTGCCTCTATAGTGTGATACAGACAGGTGTTTGAACCTGAACATATGATAATGTTCACCATATTATGTGAGCCTACTTTCTAATCTGCATTGGACAGCACCTTGTAACTCAGTTTTTGCATGGCCCTTTATAAAGAAAGTATCTTTACTTTCTTACTACTACTCATCGTCTAGATAAAAACACATGATGACTTTTGTGCCCTCACCTTTGACACTGTGCATGTTGTTTGACCAGCCTGTCCGCCGTACAGCATCATATGAGGGGTCTGACAAAGAGAGGAAAGAAAGGAAGGCAAAGTTTGAGTATATTTAAAGAAAAAACATTTATTTCAAAGAGGCTAAGAAATTGTGTATTTACAATATTTAAATGTTGCTGTGTGGTTGGACTCCATCTCACTGTGTGCTAGCCTATTACAGGACTGCAACTGTCGCAGCAAAAAGTTGGGAATGCAGTGCCAAATGGCATCCATAAATCTATCAAAACATCGTTCTAGATGCCCTTCACGGGATATCTGGACATGGCAATGTGGTTTTGTTTGTCTCGCTGTGATGCTTTAAATGTAGTAGATGGCACAATCTTAATGGAGAACAGTTGGTTGAGCAGCTTGCAACACTCTGACCACAAATAAAGGGACTGATGCAAATGATCGTACAACAGAGACACACACATAGACAATACTTGCACATGATACCCACTCTCACCCCTCTCCCCACAGGAGCAGCTTTTATGAAACCTTGACAAAGGGCCAAACTGGCCCAGTTAGCATGAGTTATAACTGCTGTGTGTCTGCACTTCTTAATGTTAAGCTGGACAGTATCCAGTAACAATCTATTACTCTGACACAAGCAGACAAAACGGTATTCTTCCCATGGCATTGTCTCAAAACACCTTGGTACACTCATAGTGCACCTGGGCAGCACCCTTGATGTTTTTTTTTTATTGTTGTGGGCTAAAACAGTTCTATCAGTTGCCAGAATACATGGAAATATGATGCGTTTTGTAGCTACATGGGCTTTGCACTGTGTTGTATGCCACATGCTATTCACAGTTTTATCATGAACTGCAAATCTTTTTGTCAGCAGTTTCTCCCAGAGGGCAGAGACAATGTAATGGGGATGACTGAGGTTGTTGCAGGGATAAAAAAAAGGTGTTAGAAAGCCAAGCGGCAATCCATTTCCCATCAGTGTTTGTAACCATTTTGAGAAGCTGGCTAATTGACAATCAGTTGGTTGTTCGACTCAATCCTGCTATAGCAAAGTGGACACCTAATTATGAATTGCTAATAACTACTCAGTGTAAAACCAGTGTGAATATCAAGCATTTCATGGCTGATAGATATCACCAGGTGTTTCTGTCAAGCATTGAAAAAGTGTGGCTTACAGCATTGTTCTTTTACAAAACATGCATGATTAATTATCAACCTGAAGAGATCATTTCAGTATGTTTTTTTACAATTTCAAAGTGAGTGAGTGTGTTGAACCTTAATGCATTATCTGTGTGTATTTGCATGAGTAGGTGTTTGTTTTCCAGACATGAATATGTATGTGTTTGCAAATTATTCTCAAAAGTGTTCCAACTAGTGCGTTCAACTCCCAGGCATGCTGATGAGCTACCAATAATCAAAAACACTGAAACACAGGTTATTTACTTTACCTGTATTCGTCTTAACTTTATAGATCTTATGTTTGTTATATTATCGGAACATTCCATCAATTTGGAAAGCAAAACACACTTCCAAGATGATTGACTGGAAAAACTGAGGGGCTTTTAGCTATTATGTCTCAGGAACAAATGAACATCTTCGCCACAACAACACACTAGGGCTGTGTTTGCTGTAATGACCAATATAACTTTATGCAGCCACACCAGAGGAACAGCATTTATCATCAGATTCCACCTCAACCCTCTCTAAACACTGTACAACACTGCCCTCCTGTGGTTCAGGACATTATTGGTATTCCTAAAATAAACAATACATAAGATACATCAATTCAAACTCCTTATTCTTACTCAAGCACAACTGGTTTTAAGATTACAGTCTCTCTGCTATCATAAAAGCATAGTTCACCTGATATTCTGCTCCTTAAGTGTTTCATATAATATCCTCTGCTGCATAGGGACCGCTTGATCATCCCACTCATTTCAAAATGTTAAACTTTTAACTCTTTAGGGTTTCAGAAAATGGCTCACTCTTGTTTGTTATTTCTAATCTCTGTGACTAAAAAAGAAGATATTCAAAATCAAGTTAAAAGTGACCGTACAATGTATGAGGTAAAGTTGAAGGATATGAGCTCGCAACAAAGCCAAAGAAACGTGAATACATTATAATATGATCATAAGGAGAGTGTAATAGAGTGGAAGACAAAAAGAGGGAGAAGAGGGACAAATAACAAGCGGGCTGCCGTGGCTCAGCGGCGCTGTCAGGTTCAATCTGGTGTGGGCCGGCAGGATAGCCAAGGAGCAGTGACTGGGGGAGAGTCCTGGGAGACTTGCGTTTCCTGCCTGCCTCGCCTGCAGACAACCTCTCTTTGTTTTACTGGCCCTTTTTTCCCCTCTACTCACCGCCAGCCTCCCCCCCATTCCCCCTCCCCCCTCCATCCTACTCTTCACCACCCTGAAAAAAACACAACGGGGCTACCTCCATACGTGCAGAGAGGGGTTACAAACAGCAGGAGAGGACATGGTGGGGGAGAAGCGGGGAGATGGATGAAGAAGAGATGAGAGAGAAGGTGAGGGAGTCACAGAAAGAGAGTATTGAGAAGCAGACAGATGAGGATGGAAACAGAGTGCTTGAAAAAGGCTTGAACGGAACCAAGAGAAGAAAAAAATGTCAGACGAAACACAACTGTGGAATTTGAAAAGAAAACAGTGGCGGCAAACCCGGCTATTGGGCTGGAAGAGATGTCCAGTACTACATTTTCTTAATTGTGTTGTTGAAAACCAAATAAGTTAAACCTTCAAAACTATTTTCAAGCAAGACCAGAAACAATTCAAGGGTTTTAACAATACAATCAATCTGTTTCAGGGTTTAATGGAGTGAATGAAGGGTAGGGAAGTGGAAGACGGAAGCAGATGCAAAATGAACAAAGCCCAAGAGGTCAGGGGTACTCGGGGCAAAAAAGCCACGCAGACACAGACCTAAATGTGCACACAGAGCCTCCTCTTGCTAACCCCCACCCCTTTCTCCTTCATTTTTCCAGGCCTCGCTCTGACAGCGACTTGAGCCAGTTTCCACTCTGGTCTGGGGTGTGGTGCATGCTCCTGGGAGACTTCGGCTGCAGGACCAGTTAGTCAAAACAAGGCCTGAGCGCTAGACAGAGGGCGAGAGAGAGGCAGAGAGAGGGGGAGAGACATAGAGAGAAAGACGGCGGGAGACAAGAGAAGGAGATAAAGGAGAACTGAGCAAAGAGGGTGAGACGGACTGAGACATAGAAGACGGGTAGATTGTCTAGTGGTAGACTGCTTTTAACCTGGAGTCTGAGCCAGGGAGAGGGACCCAGAAGAGCCACTCTTTTTTTTTTAATACCAATAATACAGGTGCAGTAAAAGCCATCTGTACGAGGAAGAAGTCATAAGAGGAAGGAATGATGGCAGAGGACAGGCGTTCAGTTGGTGCATCAGAACAGAGAAGCACCAACGTCAAAAGATGCCACACTGCTGCACAAAACCTATTCTCTAAGTTAGGGGCAACATTTGAAGTAGTATTGTTTTCATATTCAAAAGAAAACTGCATCTTTCTTTGAATTTAAAGCCCAGGAAAGCTAATTAAAAGTCATAAGAGAAGGACAGCTTGTACACATAATGTCCCTCTTCAAGTTGTATTGCCAATTTGGCTTGGCAGCAGAATAAATGCATTCACAGAGGTGAATCATCATCTTTCCTATTTCAGTGAGAAGCAGCGGAGAATGTGAGTGGCCTTGCTGCAAATTATAAAATTCATACATTTCAAAGCAGCGACAAAAGCAGAAGCTAGAACATGAAAACGGTACAAAGACTCTGGGAAAAATCTGTTTCATAACAGCCAGACAATACCACAAACAACACAGATACACACTGGAACACATGCTGTAACACATAGTGATAAATACAGAAACCCACCACCCACACACATACAACAACTTATTCATATAGTGCTTGAAAACTTAAGGTACACACTGAGAGCCACACACGCACTTATCCACAGGCACATAGTAGTAAAATACCTAAGGTACAAACTGAGAGTCACACACACACACACACACACACACACACAGAGAGACTCACACACGCATACGGACACACACACCCTTTCATAGCTGCTGCATTCCGTGTTTTATATGCTCTCTTTTATTCATAACATTGCATTTTACACCACAGAGTCTGGAGCAGATTAAGGGTTGTCTCCTGCTGCATGCTCGTGCTTACTCTACCCCAAAGAGCCGCTGTGGTATTTGACTGTTCTCGAAAGGCAATATGAACTGGAACATCTGGCAAAGCTGATCTGAGAACATTTTGATAAAGGCTTCCCTTGTACAGTAGGAAGGTTTCTTTGATTGTTGAGTCACCAACTCCTAACTCCAATTTTGATGTATTTCCTTACAGTAATGTTGCGTGAAAGTAACATTAATGTGGTTATTAAGTTGCAGAATTTCCGGATGAAACCAAATACATTAAAACAAATGATAAATGTTTAAATTGGATGGTTAAAAATCTGATACAAATACTTCCAAATTCTTGAAAAGTCACTCTGTTTGAAACTTTCCTCTGTTAGAAACAGTTTATTGTCCACGATCACGGGACACAACCGGAGCCAAAGTCAGGGTTTCAGGAGCCCGTAATAGAAGTCACCTCTTGTGAAAGGGAAATGCTGTTGAAGGGAGTGACCCTGTATTCCTGCCAGTCCAAATACCTGGCGCTGAGAACCAGGAAGACCGGGGTCAGGGGGTGACTGAGTAGAATCTTATCGGGCCTGCCCATTGGACTATTGGTACTGAAGCCGGGCGAGAACAAGCCTGCTAACGCTCACCACCGGGGCAGATAGAGAGCGGCAGAGGGCATTCTCGGACACTTATCAGACTTAGTGTTTCCTCTCCTGCTGCCTTGATAGGGCCCCTCATCCTGCCAGCGAGCCTATCGCTGTTATTGCAGTCCTGTCTCCCGTCTCTAGTGGTGACACCATATAGCTGATGTAAAGGATGCGTAGATTTTCTTTCTTTTTTTTTTTTTACAGATACGCTCTGTACCCTTCGTCTAGCTGGTATGGTGTCAGCACAAAATAATGTTTGTAGAGTGAAAAGGTATCCGAAGGAAAGAGACAATCATTCAGCGCTGCTGTGGGCGTTGTTCTGAGAAACTCAGCTTGGCTTGTGAAAGAATGATTTTACTGGTGCTAAATTACCTACACTGCCATAGCTCTCATTTGACTGCTGCATTGCTTAACACATTTCATTTTTGGTCATAAGAAACTTGGGAAAAACAATCACCAAGCAGCTCACGTAACAAAAAGTCCATATTAATGTGTCCTTTACTTTTATGTTCACTCCTAAAAATCATATTTGTTTAACGCAATGTTCCTTTAGAGAAAGAAGTGTCAATTTGAACAGTTACAAACACTAATGTCAAAAACGTTTTTTTATTGCAGAGTAAAATTGGCATAATCTTATTCTACTTTCTTTTTGTATATTCATACTTTATATATATATATATATATATATATATATATTTTTTTTTAAAGCTTTTAACTATTTATATATTTATTTATTTTTTACAAATTAATTCCTCTTATTGTGTTCATGTAAAAACCTGATTCTCATTCTAAATCTGATTACTCTCCCTTTTACCTACTGTCATCCCTTCTGGCATTAATACACTTATACACACAGCCGTAATAAAAGTAGTGAAACACACACTCCTTTTCACTCGAGCCCGGTCTGAAGCAACCAATCAGATCTCCCGCCATGTGTACCTTATGAACACTTGCTCCAGCACCTGTCCCTGATGCCCGTCTCTCTAACAAACATCATTCACACTCTGTCATTCACACGCCTTCTCTCGGATAATTGCCACATTCACCGTCTGTCCTCACCCCTGCTGCTGTAGACTGAACTCATCAGCCCACTTTTGTTAATATGCCTTTATCCTGACACGGTCTCTATGAGCCACTACGTATTGTCACACCATCCAGGTAGCCGTGAATAGCACGGTCTGCAGTGGCAGCTTGGCTCGTATTATTTCAACAACACAAAAGGAGCACCTGCGCACAGCTTTGTTTGTGGAAATCAGCAAATGCATGTGCTTTGGATCCGTGTGAAGGGTCTCTATTCTCAAGTGGGCGCTGTGTATGTTTCTGTTTGTATGAAGCTGACACGTATCATTTCTTTTAACACTATGAATTCATGGTTTAAGCCCTTTGTTTCTCTCTCTTTTTTATCCAATCCAACTTTATTTATATAGCACTTTAAAACCTCCAGACCAAAGTGCTGTACAGAGAGATACATCAAATATAAAATCACACAGCTCAGCTCACATTATTCTCTTTAACTTTAGCTAGAAGACTATTCTCACTGTGATTGATATACAACTATCTCATCAGCCCAAATACTACACACACACGGACATATATTACAATAAAGCAAGATTATAAAAAATAGTAGTCCCTACCCTCTTTGGCAGCCAGACGTGGGGAAGGGTCTGTGTGAGATGGCGTATTGTAGGATAATGATGAGCTACCTGTAATAAAGTGAGATAAAAGAGAGCATAGTAAGACAAAACAATATTTAGTCAAATACAGGAAGCATGCAGCAGTGATTAACAGTACACAGTTTAAATTAATATTAAGGTTCAGAAATAAACGTATAATTTCATTCGTTTTTGGTTTAAGTAATGAGTAATTTGAGATGTGAATTTGTATATTCTTCTGATAAATAAGGTAAGGTAAAAATGTAATTACCCTGGTGTACCCTATCTTGAAGTGTGACAACAAGTTTGAAAGGTATAACAAAAGCCAGCAGGTGGCAGTACAAGGCTCAGCTCAATTACTGCATAGTTAAATTGTGTACCTGTATGTCTGTTTTGTCAGAGAGAAAATAATTTATGACACATAAACCCAGTCCCAAAAGAGAAAATCCAGCAGACAGTCACTCCTTTAACTGTAGGAAAAACCCCAAAGCCTGTCAGCATTTTAACTGCAAACCTGATTCCTGAATAATAAAGTGAGAGAGGCAACAGTCTGCATATGGCTGCCTATTCATTTCACCTTATGGAGCAGAACTCTGCACTGCATTCCTCCACTTACACAGGCACCCTGGGCGGCACCAAAATGCTCTCTTAATTTTAGCTGCCCCCAGGCATAAATCAGCGAGTGGAAAAACAGAGCCAAAAATGCACAGAGAAAACACAAGAGCAGCTACTGCATGGGCAGTGTTAAGATTTAGCACCAAGACGGCTACAGAGCTGCTGAGTAAGGAAGATACCTTTTCTGAATGGGGGCAAAAATGAATTTATGATGTGCTTTTTCTTAAAATGTAATCCAGGATCCCTACTTAACTCGCTGTGCTGCTGGCGGTAAAGTTGGGGGGATGAAGGGGCCCATGATGGCAGACTAGGGGTCTGTTTTTTTAGGGGGTGGCTGGGGGGGGGGGGCTCCACAAATGTATTCTAACCTCCCAACACCCCACCCCTCTGAGCTCTAGCTACTCCATGGCACCCCCAAGGCTCTGGGTCTAGTTTAGAAACCTGGGGGCCTCAGAACAGGGGAGCCATTGTATGAGGCAGGGTCCCTGCACAGCAATCAAATGCAGCTCCCCGTACAAAAATAATTCCACACGCAGAGTGTAAGCGCACGGGGGCAAGCGAGCCACCAAAAGCTTTGGAATGGGGGAGAAAGATGTTCAGACAGACAGAAAATAGAGGGAGAGAAGGGAGAAGGAGGGGGTTGTTAACCCTTTTCCTGCTGTGTGCCACATATGTGGGCTGACCCAGACAGGCAAACAGGCAGCATTGCTGAGAAAACCTCAAAACCATCCCACAGAGAAATTCAGGGCTGCTGTACGAGAGAGAGAGTGAGAGTCAGCGAGGGAGAGAGAGAGAGACACCACAGCTGACAGTTTGGTGGAAGGAGTCTTGGCTGTGCCGCCTATTTATTTGGATGGCTTCTTCCTCTCTCAGAAAACAAACACGTCCCGGTAATCTGACAGCACAGTGGGATGACTGGCCAGCGTTCAGCCCTTAAGACCCTCACTCTCTATGGTTCCTTCTCCAGTCACATCTGCACAGTGACTGTTAGATTACATAACATCCACAAACAATTTTCTTTTCTCTCCTTCTTTTGACTGATGGCTCTTTCAAAAGGGCCTTGTCCTCCAGTTTTTGCACACCAAAAGAGATCTTTGAGGGCTCGGCATTGTGATTGACCACCAGGGGCCCCTGCTGTTTATTCTGTGGAGCTATGTGATACCATTGCCTCATACATGTGGTCTGAGCTTTGTCAACAAACTAAGGGAACCAGTCGCCCAATTTGGGCATGTTGTCACCTCAAAGCGGCAAAATAAGCTCAAGCCAACAGAAAGGGATCCTTTTATCGCTATCTGATAACGCTACCACTGCCCGCCTTCATACCAGGCTTTCATAGTGCATAAGAAATGTTTTCAACAAGTCGCCTGATCCAAAATAAAAAATGTTTAGTCATTGCCTTTCAAAACAACTCATGAGTGTTTGCTCAGCTTACACTCCCAACTGTGAAAATGACAATGTTTGTAAGCAGTGTTGAGGAATTTGCCTAAAAATTAAATGAATTGTTTTGTATTTATATAAATCTATTCCAGCCTTTCTGCAACAGCACACAACATTTGGCAGCAACTTTGGTTATTATACAGTACAGAAACGATGCTCTCAGCCCAGACCGATAGTTAACACTTAAGAATTCATAAAAAACACCACAGAAGATGCAAAGCGCTGACGGATAACAGGTATTAAAAAAAAAGTTTGTGCTGCGATATAAACAACTGAGCTGTGGAGAAGCACCAAGGTCGCAAAGGGGCTTTTTACTGGGCAAAACCATATGATTCAAGAAATGTGGCTTAACCCAAACGTGGCCCACCAAAACCACCTCCAACCACCTTACAAGCTGCATGTCCAGTCAATTGAAGGGAGACCAAACTGATGTCAAACCTTCAATAAAATCCCCAAAAGACAGCAACGTAAATGAATTTGTAATTTTTCTTTTTGCTACCACTACTGAAGGTTTGGTATGGTTTAGTGACAAAACTTAAATGACGCACAAAAAAGGGATTAAAATGCTCAACACCATATGTGTCTCACTCTTCTTTCCACCTTGCTACATAAAGGAGCACTAATAGCGGCATTGGCACTGGATTTTGGCATCCGACAGACATATTTTCTTGTGAAATTATTCAACTTGAACGCTACATAAAAACACTTGGTTTATGGGATCCTCCTCTCATGAAAATGATGTAATAGGATTGGATTCCTAAAATATCAGAAGAAATGTGGAAGTAGATTTATGTTGTTATAGCTATGACAAAAGAACAAAAAGGAGGTTGTGGTGGACACCAACAAAGTGTGTGGAATTGATACAGAGATTATTCTTCATATCATATCTTGTACCAATGGTAGACGTTGTTTTTGACAATATTTTGAGCATCCACATATATCAAAATGTCCCTATTTTTACCAAGTGTTTTAGTTACCAAACCTTTAAGAACTTTGTATGCTGAGAAAAGTGCCAGAATAAATTGTGACCCCAACCCTAAACCTAACCCAGAATAAATTGTGACCCCAACCCTAAACCAGAATAAATTGCATAATGAATGTAATCAGTCAAACCCTGCTGATTTCTTTAACTCACCTCACCTGTCCAATTGAAAGTGGATATGGTCAACAGGAAGTTACAGAAATATTTACATGATAGAAAGGTGTGTTGGGGGAAATTAAAAACAATAAATGTTGGGATTACTGCTAAAAAAATCACTGACTGAAATCCATGTTTTTGCAGAATTTCCCAAAAATAACATTCCTACAGAATCTGGCGACTGTTTTGTGAGCATAATTATTATGCACCTCTGAGCAGCTAGCTTCGATTACAGCTGAGCTCATCTCAGTGTTTACATGAATAGCAACCGCTTATTATCCACCCGCACTTATGCTAATGCGATATGTACATACATTCCTGTAATGCTAAGTGGCTGAACCCCAGCAGTCAAGTGAGCCGCCACAGACTGCTCTGTGAGGGTGGCTAGCAGCAGACTGCTAACAGTAAAGGGCGCAGAGCCAGGCTGTTGAGCCCCTGTGCACCAGTGATAATCTGCCAATAGAAGGAACTAATGCAAAGGAAGCTCAATAAAAATGTTGTGAGGGGAGAAAGAGGAAAGAGAGAGAAAAGAGCTCTCCAGACCTCCTTTTTCCCTACTCAGCCTTCGAGCCCAGATGTTTATGGTCTGTATAAACTATTGAGGGCTCGAGAATGTCCCCCACTCTTGAGCGAGCAGCAGCAGTGCAGAAGCCCAGACTTATCACTCTCCCTCTTTCTCTCTCTGTCTGTCTCGACTCCCTCGCTGTAAATCCATCCAGACACACAAGCATGGGCGACAGCTGGGAAACAGAACTATTGCTATTCTCCAACGACACTCAATCATGACCCCTCGAACCGTTTCCACACACTTCCAAAAAAAACTTCTCCCCCACATTGACTTATTATTCTACCTCACATAATTGTTCCTCTTGCTCACACCATCTTGCTCATGTCCTCAAATACTACTGTAAAATCTATCATCCAATATCACATTATCCACTTTCTTTAAACCCACTGTCAGCTCTCTCTCTCTGCACTTTCCCTCCTCACGACCCTTTCATATTCCCCCGTCTCTTCTCACATCTCTGTGCGTCGGAGGATACGGTCTTTCATTGTCTGAGGTTTCTTTTTGCTCCGCTCCGTTTCCAGCACATGTGGTATCAAACCGACCTACATGGGTGCGATAAAGCAAACAGTCCGTGGTCCCTCCCTGACAGACTAATTTGAACAAATTCTCAAATTGCACCCCAAATTGAAAGCACATTGGGGTGCGGGCGGCCATTACTTATAAAAATCTGGATAAGTGACCAACAATGAGGCCAAAATAATGCATGGGCAACTACCCTTGTTACTGCAAGCAGCTGGGTAGCCAGACAGATGCTCAGATTGTGCCCGCGGTTGCACCAGTGCGGTTGTCTGAGCCATATTTCTGACATATGACGTGGCAGGAATTTTTGTTATGGTATGGCTGTAGGGTGGGGAAGTGTGTCCCTGCCCCGTGCCGAGTGTACATACAGGGCTTAATGACTCGGAGGAATGTTAATCAGAGGTTCAATAAACAGAACCAAAAACACACATAATGCGGACAGATGTGTATGAAAGATTGCAGTTGCCCTTTGGAAAATGTTGGATCAGAATGGGGGGTAATGTATTAGTGAGAGAATGATTGGGGTTGGAGGAAGTCATCACATGACCTGTAATCACTAATACTTCCAGGGCTTGGCTCAGTATTTCCCTTCCCTCTCCTTTTTTCGGTATTCTGGAAGCTCGGCTCAGCTCCAACTCTCTTTTGTGAGTGAAGCCAGAGGTCTATTCTCTGGTCGGGGTTACTCGTCGTCTATGATTGTGTTTGTTTGTGCTGCAGGGAAACGAGAGAGCGGCTTCAGTTTCCAAATCATCAGCCCTGCAGGGTCTGCATAAAGCCTCAACCCTCCTCCTCCTCCTCCTCAGCCTCCCTTAGACGTTCATTTACTAACATGGTTCCTCTTGCCCTTCGGCGCTCAGTGTCAATAATACACGCTGCTCGCTTCCCTGAACGGCCCCTAAACAGGTCAGTCAGTCCAGGCACGAGACGGCAGCATTCATCTTTTTGATTGTCGGGAACTGATCCAAAGCAATTTCAACTGGGCAAGTGGAGAGAATTCCCGAGACATCTCCTCTGTCTCTAAAACACACAAGGTCTGAATCATAAACAGGGCAGCGACGGGCAGAGTCGCGGTGCAGCACGCCTAAGTCGTGGCTAAGTCGCGCAGCCCGTGGCCATAATGAAAACTGCTCTGCAGAGGCTGCCCAGTGGCGGTCAGACAGATCCACCCGCTGCACAATGAGGCTGTTATACTCATGACAAGCATCTCTCTCTGCCCAGACCCTGTGCGCTGAGAAAACTGTTGACACCCACAAAATACAGTTCCCATTACATCACGCGGAGGCCCATCGCAATTTTTTGGGAGTAATGTTAAATATAGTTGAGCCATCAGTCACTCCACCCAGCGTGGTGTCATGATATTGTGCAGCCGCAGCAAAACCAGCACTTAAAATGTTTAGTACAAAATGCAAAGACTTCAAAGAAGGGACACGCTTTTCAACAATCACACTGCTCCTATATGTTTTTTTTAAATCGGAAACAGTAGACATACCTAATGTCTCAACTACACATCTCTGTGTATTCCAAGCGGCAGCCTTGCCAGATGTTACATATTATATCAAAATGTAATTTACATACCGCCTCAGAAAACTGGCTTTGTTTCCCAGCCGAAACATATGAAGCATGGATTGCAGCGAGGAACTCTTCAAAGGTTAGAAGCTCAAATGTAGTTGCCTCCATCGCAAATTGCAGATCAACTTTCTTTGCTGTGCTGAACACACAGGCCTAGCGTGATTCCTGAGGCAATGCACCTGGGCTTCATCTCTCTGGACCATGTGGAATAAGGCGCAGCAAAGTCAAGTGGGGGATGTAGTTGATGGTTATCTTGATAAGGGGGAAAAACCCCCTTAGTTTCCACAGCTCTGCTTAATACTTTGTAGCCCTTTTGGATAAATTAGTTTCCAGTAAAGGCTATTTCATTGTTTTGTCTTACGGTAATGTGAGTATAGTGCGGTGACAAAAAGAAAAGTGTCATGTTATTTGCTTGGGTTTGGCAGTTTTTTGGTCTCACTTCTCATCCAAAAGTAGAGAAAAGTATGAAAAGTGGCTTGTGTCTTCACTGAAAGTTAATTTGTACTTGATTCCTTGGCAGAGATGGATGCCAGTGCTGACGTTAACTTAAGGACAAACAGCAGAATGTACAACAGGAGTGTAGTTCACCAAAATGACTGCTCAAAATCTAAATGTCTTCAATTTTCTGAACTTCTAATTGTTCTGTTTTTTATCATCAATCAAATTTCAAGTAACATAAGCTTATATCTACGTATTTGTTACTCTTAATCATATATTTGTTGCACAGTGTACTTACTTTCCCTGAGGTAATTGAGATGAGAGAGAAGCACTTCGGCGTTGTACATGGTGGTAAGCCGAAGAAAGTCGTCCTTGCCCATCTTGCAGAGCTCTTTGCCATCTGTGTTCTGAAACATGGCCGTGTCGATCTCCACCAGGCCGTACTCCTTGATGGCCCACTCTAGCCACTGGCGCACATGATCCTGTGACCACAACGAGGGGTCTGCAGGGAGGAGAGAGACGATGTTAATTCACTCATAATAATTGTTGGACAGTTGCGAGAGCCTCGTATCTGTCTGAGGTAAACGAAGGGGGGCAATGAACAAATTGGAAACAGAATGTATGTAGGATTTTGTATCAGTAGCAGACCTCGCTCAGAAAGCTGTACATATTCTTTGTCTTGTTGTATCGACATGAACAGGATTCGCCAGATGACTCATATTATGTTCCAGGTAAATAATCTTCCACCGAGTACGCTCTGAAATCCCTTCCTGTGATTGTACACACTATGGAATATGTTTTCAATCACATTTGCAAGTACTATTTGACCCAAGTTTGATATACTGCACAGCCAATCTGGAAGCCAAACCCCAAACTCACCACTTGTGGTTTAGTAGGGGCCTCCATGTGGAGATCTTATTAGGTTAATGGATGAGTGGACGTTTGCATCAGTTTAGCACTTACATTTGTATAGCCTTAACAATGGAAAATTAACCAAGGCTCTATTCGATTTTAATGAAATTAATAACATGTGCTCATTTTTTGGTAAAGTACAGTCATTGTGTTTGGCTCTCTGGCTTACGTCTAGCAACCTAATCAGCTTACATGTTAAAATAACTTTTCTATAAGCCAGAACATTTATACTGCACTTGTTACTTCTCAAACGATGTTGTTTCACATTATAGAAGATCAAATTTGTGAAACTAGTGAAGTAATATATAGGTCTGGCGGACAAACAGACATCACTACCTGCATGCATTCAGCCGTGCTCCCACGAGTGACGTAAAACATTGGAACAATGCTATGCCCCACAACCCAGCTAAATAGAAATAGGACTTGTAAAACATTTACAACATTGGCTAAATTATACCCAAACAGAGGAGGGATTCTGTCTGTAAACGCAGCAGCAGCACTGAAAAACAGCTAGAACAATTAGCACCTGTATAAGTACGCAGCAAATACAGATTCACTGTTTTATGACACATATTCAACGGGTTCATGTTTTCTATACTAACATACCTGCAGGTACAATGACTCTCCGTTCATTGGTGGTCATGTTAGGGGGAGGGGCATTCTTCTCATCCATGTAGTTTCCATAGTTCATCTGAGATGCTTCGTTACCCCCGACAAGCTTATTGCATTTACCCACACTGCAGTCCACTGGAGACTCCCTGCTACAAAAACACATACAAGAAAGTTGTAAAAATATTATCAGCAGATAAATTGGGTGTTGCTGGTTTTCTTTTCCAGTCATTGACTTTGGCAATGGTTACATAAGCCTTACACAGGCCAGGGCCCAGTCTACTGAAGATTAGAGGCAAAAAAGCAAAGGTTAGTTGCAGAAAATAAATGGCTTGTTGAATGACAAATGATAACATTTATAGCAGCGGCTGTATTAATGACAAACAACTGTCCAATGTGTCTATTTAAGATTGATAAAAACTCATATCTCACTGAACAAAAAGTAATGTAAGACCCAGGAAGTGGTTGTCATGCCCTACCTGGATCCATTCATGTGCTCATATTCTCTCTTGACGTTGACCCGCACCGGCTGGTTGATCCACTCCTGCTGTGGGGGTAAGGGGTTGATTTTGTGGGTCTGGCCGTAGTCCTGTGTGCCAGATGCAGTCATGTCTGTCTTGGGGAGAGGGGCAGCAGCAGCGTATGGAGGCTCAAATAGGGACTGGTCTTCACTCACCACTGATAGCGCCTCCTGTAGGTAGAAGGAAAAAATACTTGGTATGTCTTTCATGACTCATTTTACAATACTAGCACATTATTATTATTATGTGTTTAGTCATGAAAGCCGATTATATCCAAAATAAACAATATACACAGAGTACTTCAATAGTTTGGGAAATAGACTTGTATGCTTAAATGCAGAGTTAGATTAGAAGATCAACACCAATCTTAAATCTGTCTTTTTAATATAAGGTTACAGCCAGAAGCTAGTTAGCTCAGAATAAAAATGTGGCTTTGGGGAAAACAGCTAGCCTAGCTCCATAAAAGCACGTAAAACAACATCTAACACTTCTAATAAAAGTGAATCAACACATTTGAGGTGTTTTGGTTTTACGTGTTATAGTTTTTTTAAGTTGTTGCCTGGTAGAAAAAAAAAAACAGTATGCATTAAATAAAGAGTTTAAGGGGTGCTTGCAGCTGGTTTCTTTTACATTTGGAGAGAGTTGGCTAGCTGTTTTCGTTGGCTTCTTTATGCTAAGCTAAGCTAACTCTCTCCTGGCTGCAGTAACATATTTAACAGACAGATATGACAGCGGTATCAATCTTCTCATCTGACTCCGTGCAAGAAAGGAAATGTCTGAAGTTGGGAGATATACTCATGTAATACATATGATAAGAATAAACTCACAAACATGAACAGATACAACTGCAGGCTTTCATTTGACAGTACACAGAAACCTGTGATGTAAAATGTTCAATCTCTTGTGTATTTTTTGTTTACAGCAATTATGTGCAGTTATGAGTCATATCGCAGTCTGGCATCCTAAGTAGATTGTGTACACAGCCCACGTACCATCTGTAACTTCCTGTTGATGTTACCATGACTTCAATCTTGCCCCCAATGGAGTAAGACACCTACCACCGTACTGGTTTTCTGAGATCATCAGTCAATAATGACCCACTGGTTTACAAATAAACCAACATAATGGCTTCTTAAATGTTCACGTTTACTATATGGGCTGACAATTAAACATGTTCCATACAAAATGTCCCAGATTTGTGATAGTGTACTCATTTTTCGTTTAAAGCATTATCATACTTGGACCGAAAAAATCCCCTGTCATGCAATGCTGTGTCTGTCTTTTCTGAGCGTTGGGCTTCCCGCCACAGCTGAAGACTCAACAGAAGCAGGGGGGGTCATGGATACACTGACCCCTCTGCTGTGGCTCAGCTGGAGCAATGTAAGTTTATTAAAGAAAACAAACGCAGACACTCGCGGCTGGCCAAGATATTACGTGCTTTCCAACATGCTCCTCGTGTAACGTCCTGGGAGTAAAGCATGGGTTCTGTACTTGGTGGAATAAATGTACCATCCAGAAGTCACTCAATACTGTGACAGTGAACAAAGTCGGGCAATGTCACCAGTTCAGACGGGTGCCAGGCAACTTTAACTGGCACAGAATGGGGATACTGAGTCAGCATTTGTTAAAATTGTTCCATCCATCATTGGTAACAATAATCAAAAAGAAAACAATAAGTCAGAATATCAAGTGAAATCATTACAGTCATATGCTTCTGCTATAAGGATTAGGCTTGGGTCTGATGCACATCTGGATCTGATAGGATCTGATGGCACAGCTTAGACCGAGACGTGTCTAATTCCAGAGGACTGAATTATTTCATTCCAAAATGCCACATATCTGCTTCAGGGGGAAAAATACTACTTGATATTCATTGATCAGTAGTTCCAATTTCTAGCCGTTTGCATTCTCTGAAATGTTGCTTTTATGAAAGCAAAATCCTCATGATCTCAGTTTGATTCCATTCTGAGAAATTGCATGCAAGTTAAAACCTTTTTACTCAACCCAGTTTGGAAGATAAATATCTCTATTTTTGAGGGTGTGACTTTATAATTGTATGCCGTATGTAAACACATGCCAAAACACTACAGCGACTATGAATGGCAGAGATGTTTTTTTGCCAAGTCCATTTTGACGCTCAGTTGAAAAACACAACATTTTTTTCCTTATCCAATAATCACCACCTCTGTGCCTTATGTCTGTTTGGTGGTTGTAAAAAGTATCAAGGCAACAATAAAACAACTATGATTTTACTTAAAATAAAAAATATGTTCTCAAACTGAAAAAATAAGTATGACTAAACTGTTTTACTCAGTTAATGTATTATTGTCCAAAGATATCATCAATATACTTGATAATATGTGCAGCATATACTCTACACCATTAAATTGGTGCTTTTCCTCAAGTTAAAATAATTTCAATCAACATTTGAAACCAATTAGTTTGGATAAAACTAATATAATAAAAGAAAGGGAGAGTTGAAGCATATTGCTCAAGTTATCTCAATGTGTAATTGCACTATAGTGCCCTCTGTTGTAATGCCACTGACCCACAACTGTCTGTATCTAAAGTAAGGGTAGAGATATGCAAAGTGTTACAGCTTGTAGACACAAGAGTAAAAGGAAGCAGAAAAAATAAATGCTTTGTTAATGCCACATGTAAAAAAAACACTTTACTTTTTCAATAACATCCTACTCTTCAGGTTAGTGGGTGGATAAAACTCTCTGGAGTATTAATCTATCTCACCAAAATTAGATTTCCAGTGATTTCATCAGTGGATCCATCAAAGTCTGAACCCTGGCAGCAGGGCTCGCTATCTGAGCGGAGCACACCAGCTAGTCTGCGGATGATAAATTGTAGAAGAGTGAGGGAATGTCTCATTACGGTCTGATAAGGCCTCACTGAGCTATTATGACTGTTGCACGTTATATTTACAGTGACATATCAGCCTGTGCCATTGAAACCATGACTGGCAAGTGGTGTGTGCTTATCAAGATTGCAGTGGGTTTTTTAAAAATAGAACACCACCACTCTTTTGTAGAGAAAGCTAAAAGGATGACAGATCAGTGTCCATGTTTCCCTTACAGTATCTGCATGGAACACATTCAGTGAGAGGCAGTTTTCTGTCTGTCTCAAAATGTCCAAAGATAATTCTCTACTCTAAGACAATCATGAATTTCTCCTGAGTACCATTCGTGAACATGATCCCAAAAACGTCTATACAGCTTTTGAGGATAAAACATTATTTTGTCCTTTTTTGAAAGCATACGTACGATTTGTATTCTATTTTTGCAATATTTCGTATAAACATATCTGCAGTGCCACAGACAAAGAGAGGAAAACACTAAATAAATCATGGCTCAGTTGCTCCAGGCCCTATTAAAAGCATTGTGCGAGTGTGACACCTGCTGGGAGCCACCTCTATTCTGTTTACATCAACCAAGTCCATCTCCCCAAATGCGTCACGACGCAGACTGGATATATGCAATAGCTCCACATCCAGACTACACGTGTGATTGTTTGGCGTTCACACACACAGCCATCTAACATGAGCCACCCAGGGGAGGGGGGGGCATTCCTGTCTTTTGTTTAAGGAGGAAAAGGAAACCTGTCAGGAAAAGATTGTGTGGAGCAGGAAGCTCTCATGGCTAGAGAGCCCTTCCTTTTTAGTGTGCCTGAATGCAGCTAGCAGCCAGTCATTTACACCCAAGGATTCAATTATGATTACATTAATTTTCACAACTCCTTGCTTTGTTACAGGAATCCAGGCTGAGACTTGAATGTCCTTCTGCAGCATGGCTTTCACCCCCGAAACAAACAATCCCAGCTCTGTGAGCGGTGAATGACGGGATTTAAGTGACTATATGCAGCCTGACATTTTTGTCTGGCCAACGTTTACACTCTCCCAAAGCTCACACCACACCCAGCCGCCACAAACCCGCTACTTTAAGAGTTCCAAGAGAAAACACGTCGCATTACTTTTCAGTAACAAAACGAGTAGCCTAAATGCAAACGCTGCATTCTTGTGAGTTTACACTTGCTAACCGGAGGACACATACTGAACGCGTGCAGGATGAACTAACGGGGACTTGCCATTCAACATCTGGTGGCTGTAGCCATAATGCATCTGGAATTTAACTGTCGGGGGCCAGTAGCAAAAGTTAATATACACCAGTTCTCTTGACTACCAACAAACCGTTTTAAAATAGTTGTGCAACTCTAGAAGTAGCAGGCTAAGGTATTATTGTGAAGCTTGTGGGTTTTAAGTGTTGCAAACTGCCGTATGAAGTTACCAAATGACAGCTTTGCCTACACTTTCACAAAACTCTCTCTGTGGCGGCGAGAGAGAAGTTACAGTTATCAACAAAAACACAGACAGAGGTGTTATTTATTGTATAAATGCCAAATCATCACACTTTTTTGACCCACGACAGGATCTTCGGACCGAGCCGGGCGATGTGCCACACCGCTGTTGCGCAGCTCGACACATCGTATCCAGCGGTACATCCAGTCATGGCTATTGCTCAATCCCCGCTGCCCAGACTAAAATCGTGAATAACTTAGACATAAAAGTACATGATCACGTTGTCTTATATAAATAGCCACTCCTTTTTGCCTTCCCAGACGTGCGTAATTGTGCGCTTGGTCCCCAAAATCCAAAGCGTGATATTCTGATTTATGAATCCAAACCGTAGCGTATCCTCACAACCACGAAGCATATTAAAAAATAGTGGATACTTTCAAAGAAAAAGGAGGAAATCTGGTTACCGCTTTCAGACAGAGAGAAAAAAGCCGCTCATCGTCGTCAGATTTGAGGTCCCAGCTCACAGACCGACACAGAGGGGCATTTCAACCCATTGCTTTAAAAAAGGAGGCGCAACTCCAAAAAAGCAGTCTCCCACAAACTCATACACCCCGTTCTCCACCCTTACCTTAATAGTTCCGTCCATTTTGCGCAATTTTCAGCGGACTCCGACAATATCCCAAACATGACACGCTCCTGAATTAATTCCAGCCCCCGGTATGTGGCAGAGCGAAAGAGACACTTTTACCGGATTGAGTTTTTTCTTTCCTCTAAATTTGGGAAGTGAAGTCACCACTGTTGAGAAGGTTGAGAAGGAAGCTGTGTGTCACCGAAAGCCCTGCCTTCAAAAAAGCAGGATACTGTCCCAGAGAGATAAGCAGGGAAAACAATTGAGTGTTCGCTCCACTGTTATGTTTTCTGCTCGGAAATATTTACAGGATGACTGCCTGCGTTGTGCACAGCCATTGCTGTTGTAGCCTGCTGTAGAATAGGCTTGTGTGTTTTGCTTTCCCAGTAGTGTCACAGATGGTGTGGAAAGGTTTACTATTTTGTCCGAGTTATGAAATATTTCTGCACACATTTAACTGAGGTTTTGGGGAATGACTTTTTACTGTCCCACTCTTAAGTTATGTGATCCCATGTTTTAGAGCCCTTTTGGTTCCCGCCTACACATCAGACTTACATCTGGCCATGCCTCCATCCCTCTTTAAATCAGCATATGCTCAATTTTACCCTATATTTCATAGTGAAAGTCATACATTAAAATAAAGTTTATCTTTCATTGTGGACAGATGTTTCTCTCCTTCTGCTGATGGAGCTCTAAATCAAAACAGGAGACACCTATGAACGGACTTGTAGCAACCTTGTCTTTTTTGTTACAGCTCTCTGTGAAGTGTTCCTGAGACACCATTAATAAAACCAAGCATTCAGCTCCTAACCGCACTACAGTCTGAGGGTCTGCTCTACACGTGTGCGTCTGCTGTTCAGCGCAGGAGTGAATGGATGAAATACAGCCTGCTTCCACACAGGCACATTTAAAAAGGGGTAAACGGGGTTTTAAATGTATTATTGTTATTGACTTTGTTATAGTTATCCAAAGGTCCCTCCCTACTCCCCTAAAAAAAATCCCCACCCCCACATAGGTATTTTCTTTCCTCTTCGTCTGCCCTATGAAATTGCCCTCATCAATTCAAGCATAATTTTGGTGCAGATGCTAGACATGGAGCCAGCTCTGAACGTGACCAGACCAATAACACTGCAAGAAATCCTCACAGCACATATAGCATTTAAGTGATATATTATTTACAATAAATGAAACGCATACAAGAAGTAGTACATAACTCAGATTTAGAGATAAAAAGGAAATTCACTCTAACCCAGATTGTATTTGATTTGTTTCATTGATTTTTAACAAGCTTTAGCAGATCACCAGCCATTTATCCATATCAAGAAAATCACATTTGATAGGGGATAACTTTACTTTGGACCAAAGTCAATGTATCTCCTTACACTGCCATTTTTTATAGCCTGATGTTTCACAATATAAACCGATTTAGTTGATATGATGAATACTTTTTGCAGTGTTGGGGTTCTGCCAAACAGAGACTCGCTGGGCTGACAGCAGGGCCGGCCTGTCTGCTCTCGACTTGGGGGTCTGTTGGGGCTGAGGGCCCCCACCCTTGGGACCACCACATCTGGATCCTACTAAGGGTCAAGGCTTCTCCTGCCTGAGGCCAGTTCAGACTCGGGTAATTAAGGGAGACACCTTGTTTAACTCTTCAGTGACTGCTTCGGTTTCTTTTTTTTTGTTTTTCTATACATTCCTAAGTCTGCGGTCTTATACTTATTTTATTTTAGGTAGATGAGTGATAACGTGGCAAATAAAGGAGGTGCTTAAGACGTCACCCCCAATTGGTGAACTACAAAACCTCCTTTATGACCAGTAATATATTAACATCATTTTTGTTTTTTTACTTGGATGTGCGTCTTGTATGACACCAGGTTCCATTGATAAAAACCCAAGCTCACCCTCCATTGAACTATAATCGTATAATTAATTTAGGTTTAGTAAATAAGTCAAATGCGGTGTTAGAATTATATCCTATGTATGCTCTTCAAGGAACAAAACAAACCCTCATTTTCCATAGGAAGTCTGATGTTCTAATCAAAAAACATCAACAGCTTGCCTCACACACAATCTCTATGTAAATACCTGCCATCCCAGTCATAGAACATTATCAGGAACAGTGGGGGTCCAGGACCTACCAAGACCATAATGAATACAGTGGTAACAAACATTTTGGAAGGCCAATAAACAGATGCAAGTTGGTTTACACAGTGAACCACAGAACATCTGGCTTGACGCTGGAACTAGACAGCCAGACATTTCTTCCTTACACCACGAGCCAGTAGCTCCTCAGTCTCTCTGCAGGGGAACCAGCCAGAGGTGGGCGGACACTTTACAGAGATTATGTTCAGCAACCTTTCAATTAATAGGCCCAACCTTTCGATGTTCATCCTATAGGGATATCTACTCATATTTTCTGTAAGGGTAATTTGGTTACAGTTTTTGAGAAAGTTAGTATCAGGAGTTTAATTTGTTGTACTGTGTGAAAGCAATCTGGCCAAAGGAAAATATAAAAGGGGGACAAACTTTAAGTGGTTGCTTTAATCAGTAGATTCATCAAAACTGACAAAACAAGTCAACATCCATGTGGAGCTGTCCTCACCATTTCTAAAAAGAAAAAAGAAAACACTTGAAAAATAGATTATAAAATATTTTACAGATTAAGGTTCTTAATGGGTATTATTTGATCAGTCCCGATGTGAGAAATTAAGAATCCAATACTGAGTTTTGTGAGAAACATTTTTTAGCGGAGTGTTATTCCAAAGAAAATAGTCACTGTCACATGAGCCTATCTTTGCTCTTTATCAGACAGCAGACTTGTATTCTGATCATTCCTTCTCTCAAGCTAAAAGACAGCCCGAGTCAAAATACTGAGTGCAAAAAGTGGAGTATGCAGCACATATAAGCACGAACAGTCTGGCCCCTCGCTCTAGGCCATAATTAATTTGAGATTTATTTTTATTGGAGAGTTCCAGTCTCGCCTGGCCTTAACCAAACAAAACCAAATGTTGGGCCGTGGATTCGCTTGAATGAGGAATATTTCTTTAAATCTCGTATTGAGGCGTGCCACATTCTGACCAATATCTCCCTGAATGTGAGTGAGCCAGTCAGTGCAGCACTTGCACGCGAAAAAGACACGCTAACCTTGAATAAAAAAAATAACATTATTGGATTCAGAACAAACAGAAATGATCCGGACTGCATCTCCACAGCAAATCAAAACAGCTATGCAAGATAAATTGAAAGTTAACTCTTTCCATGGTCAAGTGAAGTCTCTGTTTGCCTCCTGTCTTTTTTTAAGGGAGCAGAAAGACTCATTTAATCGCGTATTTTCTCCTCAAACATTCTGCGCTATTCAACGCTCTCACAACACACCAGGAATTGTTCTGGGCCCAGAAACGCGGAGCCTCTCTGCAGTGGCACAAACGCTGTGGCTGGATGAAAAGAGCCCTTATTCAAAGGGGAAATAAGTCTTCAAAACATTAACAGTCGCCCTTGGAAAAATACCTTGATTATGAAGATATTACCATAGCAGCTCGCCTCTGCACAATGGCTCATTATAATGGCACAATCCGAGCAGTCAACCTCGGAAGATTATTAAAATGGATGTGAGCAAACGTCATTCGGCCAAATTAACTAACTTAGTAAATGCGAGCAAAGTGCACGTTCAACTTGACATTAATGGACTTATATACATGGTGATATATGAAACATATTTAATTTTCAGTGCCTCAGATATGTAGCAGTTGCAGGTATTTACGCGGTGTGACGCGATGCCGCGTTTTATGTGAAAACCAGATGTGCACTGTTTGCTTTATTTACATTCACAGGACTGCGGTGGAGAGAGCAAGAGAGAGAGAGAGCAAGAGAGAGAGAGAGAGAGAGAGAGAGAGAGAGAGAGAGAGAGAGAGAGAGAGAGAGAGAGATGTATGACGTCAAACATAATAATGATCCATAACAGCAGCGATTCTTAAGACTTTAAGATGTTTTCAAATCGAAAAAATCAAATGTATCTTGGCACTCCACATAGACCACAACAGAGCCACATTTCAACAAGTGGCTTCACTGCGTAAACATGCAGCCATTCTCCACTACAAGGGAAACAAATAGCAAGGTGGCAATCAAATGCAACAAGCCTGGCACCTGCGTAAAGCCACTTATACACCCTTGGTAATTTTGAATAAAGAAAGTCTTTATTTGTCTCATATAAAACCAGCAGGAAAAATGCAGTGTAAACATTGCATTCTACTTGAAACACATCAAGAGAAGGAGAAATATTTGAATATCACAGCCTAAAAAACATTACAAAAAAAAAGAAAGGTCCCCAGTTTGTTCCTCCTACATTACCTGAGCGAAGAGACGGTGGTGTCTTACCTTGACGTAAGACGACGTGTCAGGGACAGTTTGAAACATGTCTATTGGACAGACAGGCCCAAGGGTGTTCAGTGTCCAATGGGTCCTGAGGAAAGAAAAACATATTAAAAAAAAACGTAATAATAAATTCGATTTTACCTGATGTTTTAATTGTATTTGCATGTCGTTTAATTGTTATCTGAAATGTTGGTACACTTTTAAACGTAAAATACCTCGCAGAAAAGTGTTTGCTCGTTGTCATCAAGAGATCAGCTACACCTGACAGCAAACATTCACGCAAATTACCGCAGGTTTTGTGAACTTCGACACATGGGTTACCACTTCCACCAAAATAAAGGGAAAGTCAAATTTGCTTAACGTCCCCCTGTATGTCTGACTGCACACATCATCCTTTGATTCATTCATAGGCCTCCGTTTTCTCCAAAGTGGTCAGAGGTATTAGATACGGGGAGGTTTTAATTACCTGCTGTCCGTACATTAACAACACTAACTTATGCACTACTGGTAACATGGATGAATGACTCCAAGTCGCCCAATAGGAGCTGGGCAGCAAGATGAAGAAGAAGGGCCCCATCCCAACCCCCATCACGTTTTCCCCCTAAAGCTTACCACATATTGAAACACTTTTCGCTTTAATAAGTGCAGCTTACAAAGTCTAGGGTGAAAGGGCACTTGGAGGACGGTGTCTTTAGCCCTTCCCTCCCTGTGCAATTATTAGGAAAGCAGTGGCATATCCCAAATGCTTGTTATATGGACTGTGTGATAAAGCAAACCTATATGGACCTCTATATTGGCATTCAGGACTCACCACTAAAGTTCAACTTATCTTAACAAGGCCTATGGGACATCATTCTCCTGTTCAGTAGCATGTGTGCTCTGACCTGCCAGCATTATAAATATACAATCACCAACCTTTTACCGACTCTGGAGTGGAGTATAATTAGTAGTGGATGCAAATTACGCGCACTTGTGATCTTAAGCCAATACCTGACAGGGAAGAAATACACTAAAATAAAACGCTAACAAACACAGGGGAACTTAAACATTCCTACACACGATCAGAGGTTTAACAGT